CCATAGTCCAAGTTTGAAATGAATTTAAGTATTGTGAAAGACTAACAAACCAACATTGCCGGCTCCTGCCTGTGCGCTGCGCTGCTTTCAGCAGTGACGTAAAACTGGAGACGATGGTCTGAACTAGAGGGAGAGAAAAGACGAAAGACGGCTATACCTACTGGAAGGTGAACACGTTTTTAGTTCAAGCCAGTGAAAACGACCTCAATGTAAACGTGTGTTACATTTGTACGACAGTAATGTGTTAATCATGCGTGATGTTTCAGACCCGTTTTGAACAGTGGGGCACAGATTAATGTCAAGTAGGTCATTTGTTGGGACTAGATTAAATTCTCACCACCGCTGTTTCGAAAAATACCTGACATTGAATGTTCCGAAGCCATAAGAGTCTCTTGATCACACCTTTCATTGGAAGTCTAACCTACTTGTACGTCTGTGAGGGGAAAGCTTTTCCACATATGCGGGGCTGGAGGATACTTTTCTCTGTGTGTCAGCATTTGACTCTGACCCAGCTGAGTATCTGAAGCCAGTTACACAGCTCGGGTAGACAGTTTTTTTTTTAACTACTCTGGTTGAGTAATATATAAATATGTGACAGCTATGCCCAAATTATGCTAAGGTGAATCTAATCTTTACTCAGATTTGAGGGGGAAAAAAAACTTCCACTGCTGTTTGTTGAACGGCAGAGTGGGCCAAGACCAAAGCTAACCAAGCTGACAGCAGTCCAGCAGGGGGCCGAGAGAGATTCGATTTTTTAACTTCATATCTGTTGAATTTTAACCTAATTTTACATTTACTCCAAATTTAGAACATCTTATTTAGTAATTTTTAAATGACAATTTAAGGTAACTAACTAATAGCTTAATTATGTATGTTAACAGTCACAAAGCAATGTTTGTGGTGAAAGGACGTCCAAAAATGTGAACAGTCCGACAAGAATCAATAACCAGAGGAACGGAGTAGTGTAGCAAAAATTTGTGAAATACGTATATAAATAATATTTCATTTGTGAAAAACCACATATAATTATTAATTTATTGGCGACATGCAGCGTCAGATGATTTATTTCATCTGTCAGCCCCACCAATCAGAGTTCAGTGGGCGGGGCTACAGTTTCAGTTACTCCATAGTGAACTGGAGCAAATGAGCTCAACATGTCGAAATGTCACTATCTGAACACATGTGACACAAACTTTGTAAAATATTTTTTAGATTCTGTAACTTAATAATAATGCAAATGATAAATGGCTTATATTTTATGAACTGTGAATAATTCTAATGCACTTGTATTTTACTCATCTATGTCTCTATTGTTTTATTTTTACGACCACACCTTTGCATGATTTATGCATTGCATTTTGATTGATCTGACACCCTGCAGTGTTACTTTTTAGATAATATGTCGCTCCTGTCATACACTGAGTTTCAAAACTTATTATTGGCTTATTAATTACACACATCTGAAATTGCAAGGTACGCACCCAAGAATGGCCAATTAAAAAAAAAACATGGAAGTGATTTTTCACTTACAAAGAATTATAGAAAAAATTTTGTGATTTTAAACGCACAAATTCTGGCTCGCAAGCTTCTGATCAGGTGATTCGGTCAGTGACATGAAGATGGAAAAAGTCGGTCAGGGAGGAAGAGGTGAGGCTCACTGTCGGTGTCGCTCATCCCGCTGTCGCTGACGCTCGCGCTGCTCCTCCTCTTCACCGTCTTCAGGTGCTCGTCGTACCTGAAGTGTCGCTTCTCCACGGGCGACGTGAAGTCCTCGATAACCGCGTCGAACTCGCACAGGACGTCGCTCAGGTCCTCCTCCTTGACGAACTTCGCTGCAACACGGAGGAAGGCGGCAGCTGTCACTTCTACAGTTTAGGTCATTGTCGCACATGAAACCCTCCGACCAGGCGGCGGAGGAGCACGAAGCTAAAGGTGGTAATAAATAATAATAATAAAAAAATGGACCCAACCTGGAGTCTTCAGTTTCGGGGACTTCATGACGGCGCCAGTCGGGTTTTGGAGTATCCGGAAATTTCCTAAAAATGTCCGTATAATAAAATATCCCAGTCTGTCGCAGCGAGGAACGGTGAAGCTCTGATGCTCTCCAAGTATACGACCCCTCAGGCCGAGCACTGGCGCTTTTAAACGAACCCGGCTCGAAGGGGGCGGCGCGCGCGGCGTCTGAGCGTTCATGTTGGCGCGCGTGACAAATAAAACTTTTCCCGGTTAAACTGCCCCGCCTCCTGGTACCCCCAACCATCCCCTGCCCTCTCCTGCCCTCTCCTCCCCCCAACCTCAAAAAAGATGTTTGTAAACAACCGTGGTGTTCGCCGCCAAGAGGAGCAGTAATACACATGTTTTCCTGATGAGGACCCAGTTGCTGTGTCACCAGGCAGATCATAATACTCAGTGACCACACGGATATACAAGAACCGGCATCATCTTCAGTCATATCTGGGGGTCATTAAGGGATCAGCTGCTAATATCACATATAAGCTGCTATTATTACCCGACGTCGCTATGCTAGGCGGGAAATAAAGGTAATGCAGCCTTGAAAAAACCAAGTTCACTCCTGTTGATTCCATCCAAGGGAGAAAGTAGCAGCCATGTAAAATCATCCTAATTTGTTTTTTATTTGTTTTGGGGTTTTTCCCCCCTTGTTTCATGAAATGTAGACCAAAAGTAATTCTGGGTTCTTTTAATACAGCCAGGTTAGGTTATGAGTTTGATGGGTGGTTTCACAACATAGTTAGTTAAATTAACCACTTTGTCTAATCTTAAGATAATAAATGAGTAGGTTAAATAAGACTTAAATCTGTATGAGACTTGGGTTAAAATTAACTTTTTAAAAAAATATTCTATATAAAAATATCAACATGTAAAATAAATAGACAACATATTTGCTAATAACATTTTTACAGACAACCAAGTGAACTTTTATAACCTTGTTTATTTGTCATACGTAGCGGTATATATTAACTATACAACACATTTTCCGGTCACAGAGTGATTATTGAGAATTGAGAATCTATTTGACGGTTTTAATAGCTCGGATTAGATAAAGTGGGCAGTATCCTCAAACTAGTTGTTAGCCTTCCACCATGTCCTTCTGTTTACTTCAAATTCACAGCAATTTGACATCTGTCAAATAAAGATAAGAGAATGATTATGAAAATTTCAGAAAATAGAAAGCATGAAACTGTTTCCTCAGACAAACATCTCTTAAGTCTTGCTGTTTTTGCAGAGTTTGTGCCTTCATGAACTCTGAGTTTAATAACTTTGAGGCAGGTTCATGTGCCTGCCGGGGTGTTTTGGCCAAGTCTGTGTGCAAAACCAAGCTTATGCTGCCATCTGCCGGTAGAACAACTTCCGAACCAAACCTCAAAGTTCAGACGCAACTTCGAAGACGAAGAGTTTCAATCGAAGTTAGTCGAAGACTTAGGTGAAATCCGATGGACAACCTTAAAAACTTTTTCTGAGACCACTGCTCATTTTACAAGATAGTCACAATGTCTTCTGAGTTTGTTTTCATCCCTAATTTTTTAAAATCAGTTCGTCAGTAGAAATTCTACTGCTGCTACTCAGAGATTACTTAGTTATTTCTTAAGATGCCGAGAGGCGCTCCTTATTCGAGTCTCACTTTGATTAATCAGTGATTTTGACACTAAATACACAAAGCAAAGGAATCACATTTATTAAAACATAATAAATTACACATCCACTGACATATGTACATTACATCCGTTCCATTTTCTGTTGTATTTCTAAGCCTAAAAATGTTATATATATATATATATATATATATATATATATATATATTATATATATATATATATATATATACATCCCAAATCCAGCACCCTGAGACTGTACACGAGCCGCAAGGACGGAGGCAGAGGACTAGTGAGTGTGAGAACCACTGTCCAGGACGAAACAACTAAGATCCATAAATACATCAGGGACAAAGCCTCAACAGACAATGTGCTCAGTGAATGTCTCAGACAACAGGGAACGGAGGTTGAGGTGCCAGAGATACCATCATGGGAGGACAAACCCCTACATGGGATGTACCACCAGCAAATAACCCAAGTGGCTGATATCAGTAAATCCTACCAATGGCTGGAAAAAGCTGGACTCAAGGACAGCACAGAGGCCCTCATCCTGGCAGCCCAGGAAACAGGCCCTAAACACCAGAGCAATAGAGGCCCAGATCTACCACACCAGACAAGACCCAAGGTGTAGGTTGTGCAAGGAGGCACCTGAGACAGTCCAGCACATCACAGCAGGGTGCAAGATACTGGCAGGGAAAGCGTACATGGAGCGACATAACCAAGTGGCAGGCATAGTGTACAGAAACATCTGTGCAGAATATGGACTGGAAACCCCAAGATCAAAGTGGGAAACACCCCCAAAGGTGGTGGAGAACGCCAGAGCTAAGATCCTGTGGGACTTCCAGATCCAGACAGACAAAATGGTAATGGCGAACCAACCAGACATTGTCGTAGTGGATAACAAGAGGAAAGCCGTTGTGGTAGATGTAGCAATACCAATGATTGCAACATCAGGAAAAAGGAGCACGAGAAACTAGAGAAATACCAGGGCCTCAGGGAGGAACTGGAGAGGGCCTGGAAGGTGAAGACCACAGTGGTGCCTGTGGTCATCGGGGCCCTCGGGGCAGTAACCCCCAAACTGGAGCAGTGGCTACAACAGATCCCAGGAACAACATCAGACATCTCAGTCCAGAAATGTGCAGTCCTTGGCACAGCCAAGATACTGCGCAGAACCCTCAAGCTCCCAGGCCTCTGGTAGAGGACCCGAGCTCAGAGGATAAGAACCACCCGAGGTGGGTGAGAAGGGAATTTTTTTTATATATATATTCTGATCATCCGGATGATCAGACAACGCAACACGCATTGTCACTGTACTGCAGGGCGTACTTGGTGACGTACATCTCCTTCATATATATATATATATATATATAATATATATATATATATATATATATATATATATATAGCAAACACGCAAAAAAGTGGTGTCTAATTTGTGTTGTAGCTTATGAGGGAAGAACACGTAACAATTATACTGACATCTAGTGGTCAGGAGAGAGTTTGCTAACAACTTCCAGTCAAGCTTTCGAACGAGAAATGAATAGAAATTGGTACAATAAAATGCAAAGATATAAAAATATCTTGAAAAAGTTGTATCTGTTGTCACATGTTTTCTATCAGATTTTGTACTGTCACCTTTGCTTCTCTTTTTCGTTTTGTTTTTATTTGAAGAAGTTAGTTTGTGGATTATCTGTTTTTGCATTCTGATCATCCGGATGATCAGACCTGTACATGTTGAACTACTTTTCTTCTGGTTACTTATTCTACAGGAAGTACTTTAGCATAGTGCTGAAAGATGTGCTGCACACATGTATATTACATTTACCTTGTTACATCTGGGAAGATTAACACATTTTTTTTAACAAACTTTTTTTTCTTATTTTTCTGCCACAAATACTCTTCATATTAAATGCCGGATCCAGATGTAAAGGGACAAAACTGCAACATATTCCATGGTTGGTAATAATCCTGCATGTCTGCCTCTACGCTCTGAACATTTATTTAGTGTTTTCCCGCGTTTTCACGAGCACGTGTCACTCAAAGTCACAGCCGAGAAGCTCTACTCTCATGGTGATGGAGTTCCACCATCTTTTGGGGACGATTCGAATAAAGCGAGTGAAGATGGGAGGATAGATGTAGTTCCTCACGTGGTCATTGTTGTTTGTGTTTCCGTCAAACATCTAGGTGCATGAGATAGAGAGAGAGAGAAAACATCTTTCAACATCAAGAAAAGCTTCAGTCCATGAAAACATACCTGCGCTCTTTACATCGACTCACCTTTACAGTTACATCATCATCGTCCATGTAGTAAGTCCAGTGTATCCCATTGTCACTGTACTGCAGGGCGTACTTGGTGACGTACATCTCCTTCGTCATAGACTTGGCTCCCTGTGTTATGATGCCTGTGATCTTCATCATGCGAGGCAGTTCCACCTGGAGCCACTGGTTCATGTCATTGTGCTGAATAAAATATAGCACAAGGACAATTTGTGAAATATTTGACACATTTTCCGAGGTATTACCCAATTTATGTCTACGTAAAATCAGAACAATTTTTATTGGAAGTTTTTTTATTTTGTCACATGACAAGTCATTGCAATGCATTTCATTGGGATTCTATATAAAAGACCAACATGAAGAAGTGCATAAGTGGGAAGTGGAAGAAAAATAATAGATGTCTGTCAAAATCTTTTTCTAGTGATCAGATAAAATCCAACAAAATTCTTTCAGAATTGAAATGTCTTCAGTGGTTACTACCTTCGCTCTCCATGCGTTGATGGAACCCAGCTTGTTGAGGCGACCGAAAGAGGCTTTCCAGAGTCCACTAAACCAGCTGGATTCCTCAGAGCTGGCTGTGATGCGTCTGTCCTCTATCAGCCTGCTCTCCATCCCCAAAGGCACAGAGCAGCCTGAACGGAGACAAGCATAATCTTTCCATGCTTTAGCCATTATGTTAGCATGTAGCTAACCTAATCAAAAACAGAACCAACTTTTCTTCATATGTACCTGAACCCTAAAATGCCTATCTCAGATGATGTAGATAGTTGTGATATAAAACGCTCAAATCAGGCATTAGGTTACTGAAAAGTAACACTTATCTTTTGATCATGGGACCTGTTCTGAGTGGCATAAACCAGAGAGCAAGTCAATGTTGTTGTTTTTTTGCCCACAAAAAAACTAGACGTAGGAAAAATGAGCAAGTGTAGGTTTAACAAAGATCTGACTGTGATGGTTGAATCCCGGATCACAGCATCTCCAAAGTGACCCTCTTTGTTGGGTGTTCCTGTTCCTGGTCTACAGTTGTGGATCTCTTATCAAAAGTGGTCCAAGAAAAGAACAGTGGTCAACCGGGCGACAGAGCCGACAGAGACATCTTAGGCATTGGAAATGTTAAGCCACCAAAATAAGAACAAGATTTGGGTTCCTGAGTCCAACTGTTGGAGATTACATCAAACACACAGCAAACCAAACTAATATCTCTTTGACTTTCGTCCACATTAACTTGCTAAGCAAAAGTCTTACCATCAAGTTCACAACCGTAGAACTCCATGCGGATTGTTGCTGCATTATTCCAGGTGATAGGGTGGAGCCTAATGAACCGTCCAATCAAAGGAGGAAAGAAGATGTTTTTCTTTGTTTGAGAGGCTTCCTCGTTTCCTTGAAATGTCTGAGTACACCAGGACAAACACAGGGGCATAAACAAGTGATAATGTGTGTGTTCATTTTGAAAGAGAATGATTCAAACTTCCCTACCTTCCAGAATTCCCTGCTGTCGCCTTTGTAAAAGATCCATTTGCGGCGGTCGTTGCTGTACGAGATGGAGAAATTTGTGGCGTACTGGGACTGGAATAACTGCCGGGCTCCTTGTGTGGCCACCAGGCTGATCACTACTGGCCGCTTGAAGTCCACCTTATAGCGGAGGTTCGCAGGCAATCGATTAAGTACATTGAGTGTTTTCTTTTTGTACTTTAAAGTAAGATATTTCTAGTTCCTGTTTGGAAAAACAACAGGAATGCTCCCTGAACACTGGAAAAGCTGAGCTAGCTGAGAAATCCAGATTTTTGAATCCAATATGGCAGCTTAAATAAGAATGAAAGCCAAAGTAAAATACACATCTTTGGATGTGTTCCTTTAGAGTTTAAATACAAAAATAGCCTGAATAATATTGTTATTGGCTCGTATTGCTAATAGTATTTAGCACCGAGGTAAATCCCACCATTCAGAAAGTCTTCCCAGTCTCGGTCCAAGTTCTGACTTCCAAAACAAACTGAATAGAGCACAAACAGAACAAAAACGTATAGACCGAAAAATATAGAACTCTCACCTGAATCCACTCGCCTCTCTTGTCTGTGCTCCATGCATTGTATTTACCCTGGTTATTCAGCCTGGCAAGATGGGGCGCCCAGTATCCTTAATATGTGGACAGCAATTTTTATTCATATTTTTAAAGTGGCTGGCTGGAGTAGAATATCAGGAGGGGTCTGACTACCTCTTGAGTTGCTGGCTGTGATCTGGTCATCTTTCACGCTGCCCGACTCAAGACCCATAGGATGGTAGCAATCTTAAATATAAAAAAATATCAGGGCTGAAATACAACACATCATTGTAAGACAATTGGTTAAGGAAAAAAAAGTTCTTCAAACAATTTCTTTGCTAAATTTACAATTAATAAGCACTCTTGTCAAAAACGTGTGAAAAAAAATAAAAAATTCCAAAAGCATAATAACGCTTCTTTCCTTTCTTTCTTTCTTTTTTTTTTTTTTTAAAAGAAATATAGCTTTTAAATTTAAATAAAACTCATAAAAGGGTTTAAGTGCTGTCTATCACCCTAGTGTATGAGCAGGTACAAATAAAAATCCCTTTTTGCATTTTTCTATTAAAAGTATGGAATGTTTTAAATTTTATATTTAAAAAATTTAAAAATATACTTTGAATTTAAACTATTTTATCTGAGAGTCAAAAACTTACATATCTTTACCAGCAAGAGTAATGACAGAGTCGGTCACTCAATTTTTAGAGCAACTGTCATTGCCAATTTACAACATACGACTATGCATAGCTGTGTTCACCATTATCTAGCACCAGGAAGAGCGTCTGCATCCCCCTCTTTTGGTTTCGACCAACTTCTGTCTCCAGCTGCCACAGCCCAGGCTTGGATGGATACATCTCCAATGTTGCAAAGCTCCCTGCAAAAATCCAGCAATGTGTTACAAACACAACATGGATGTTCTTTACATGAACAGGTAGAGGAGCTAATCTGTTTCTCACCAGGCAGCAGGGGAAACACAGCCTGCCTGTAGCTCTTGGTCTTAACATTTCTGAATGTCTGCCCATGGAAGTAAACGCTGTGAACGTCTTTGGGAGAACCCATGTTCATCAGGTGCCACCGCACAAGCTGGTTGGTGTACATCCTCAGGCCCTTAAGACTGTATATTATTCCATTGATGGCTAAATAAAAAAACAGACAAAGCAAACAATTGGTTCCTCCAGGCTCTGAAATATCTTTTCAACATCTTGTCATATCATCCTATTCTGAAATGAATTGATACAGTTTGAACAAGACAAAAAGGTCATGGATTGTTACAGTGGAACTTGAGGTTCTCCATCTCGTAGTCATCCCAAACTCGTTTTCGGTACTTTCTTTGCATAACTTCCTGGTTTTTATTGTAGTACCAGCTCTGTGACTCATCGAAGGTCATGAAAAGCAGCACAAACTCCCTCGTGTCGAGTGGCTTTTTCTTCAGAGTTCCCTCTCGACACACCAGCAAAGGACCAATTAAGCCGGAGTGAATGTCCTTCTCCTGCAAGAAATGTTTTAGAAATACATTATTTACATAGTGATTTGCTAAGTTTGCGTACCTTTTGAACTTTTCCTTAGTTTTTGACTGTGCAACTAAACAGCTATTAAACACAAAGTTTTCAATTGGAATTTTGTGAGTTAGAAATACTATAGACTCCAATAATATTCTCACATTGTTTTCCAAATTAAAATTTGATGAGTGCTTCATGACACACACATCGACACAATTGATCTGTTTCAGGCTTAAGAGTTTTGTCAGCAAACATTAGAGAACCAAGAAACACAGCAGAAAATGTATGTACAGAAAAAGCTATGAAGGGGTTTAAATCAGACAAGAAGCTCTGCTCGTTTATCGCTAGGTATGGAGGAGACGTGACAAAACTGAGGAAGAAGGTTCCTCAGGTAAACTGTGACTACTTACGGGATTAACACCAGAGTAGTACGCCCAGGTCCGACACTCAGACTCTTCCGGAGCTGGCCCAACCATAGGACTGATTTTCCATATGTATGTGTAGGTGGTGTTGGGTTGAACTTCGTTGTCATATTTATACCAGTGCTTGGAGCCGTCCTCGTAGGACAGACCCTCAAACTGCTTTGTATAGGAAACCCCATTGGGGTGCAGGGAGTACGGACGGTTGGCGTTGTTTTTGAACACAATCTATAAAACAAGAGACAACGATTGATTCTATCGCAGAAAGGTCACAATCCAACACAGTTATTGTATGTTTGTTTACTCAGTTACAGCAAAAAGACATATTTCTTTGCTTAGTACAGTGGACCCCCACTTCTTTTTGGTTTTTTTTGATGGAACGTAATTTCAAATTATGCATATGTAACCCACATAAAGTGGGGATAGCCTTTTGGGAAATAGAGATTGGGTAGGCGGGGTAGTCTGCCTGGCCAATGGGAAGTTTGATTCCCATGAATGTTTAGACCAATCAGAGAGCGGAATGCCACAGAGGCAGATCTGACCCTGATCAGACAGCTGAGCCAGAGTGAGAGTCTTTTGGTTTCTTTCTAATATCATTTATTGACTTTGAAGGAATTTTTTTTTTGTAAATAGTTATTGTTTAAATCCAACTTATAAGTTAGAAAGAGTGATAAGTTTCAGAAAACTGAACTTCAGTTTTTCTGCTGTTAGAACCACTAAGATCAGTTGGAACTGTTGCACTTTCTGGCAGTTGATTGGCAGTTGTTTTCAGTTCAACTGAAGGTAAAGCCTATATAATAATGTATTTTTATTTTACTTAATTCATTTTCTTTAAGTTAAAACTTAAAAAATATGCATTTTACACTGTCTAGTGCCCTCCGTGTCTGGAATGAGAGTCCCTGTCTAGTTGTTTTGAACGTGCCGCACTGAGATCGGTGAGCATATTTTGTAGCTTTCATTTGGTTTTTGTTCTTTTATCTTGTTGTCAAATAATGATCTTTATTTGACCTACTTAGTTATTAAAACGTGAACCTTTGCTGAGTTTGTGTAAAATGTAATGTTTTATTATTGTTCTTGGAAAAGGATTTTTCGAACAGTTATGAAACATAATAAGCTAGAATGGTTTAATAATAATTCTATGTTTCTGCTGGTCTTGTCTGTTGACAGATCAGGGTTTTTTTTGTTGTTGTGTTGTTTTTGCTTTTTTGCTTTTTCTTCTCTTCTCCTGGATTGTTCCTGGAGTGGATTTCCCTACTGACTTTGATGGCGAGCCTTCCCACCTGGACTTAGAAAGATCTGGATTTCCTCCCATGATGAGAGCCTTCCCACCTGGACTTAGAAAGATCTGGATTTCCTCCCATGTTGAGTGAGACCTGAACCAGGATTTAATTTGATTCATTTGTCATCTAAAAGAGATTAGAGCGCAAACTACCAGGGTGCACCCAATAGATTTAAATTTGATATTTAGCACTTGGCCAAGTATTGTTGTTTTATTTCATGTATTTTATTGTGTGTAATTTTATTTTCTTAATTGTATGTCTTGTCCACTTGTGAGTTTATGATTCATGTTACTAAAGCTAATTGTTTTTTAAATTCACTCAACTGTGTATGTGTGTCATTTAAACACCCATCGTGCTCCGACAGCCGACCCTATTGGCTCATCTACCTAAAACATATTGTACCCTTCTCAACTGTGTTACACATATAAAATTCACCTATTCAATTTTTTTCTGAGAGCATATCTAAAATATTTGACAGAGAATGCTGCTTAGGAAGTTGAAATACTGAGGTATGTTGATCTTAGAGGAATAAATTTACTTGGCTCGTTAATTTTCCTCTAGTCCCCAAGATTCTGGGACACAGCGGGAAGCACAGAGAACAACCATTCAATATCAAACTTCAGACATATCTAGAGTTTTATGCAGAGAATTCAATGCATATAGAATGTCACATCAGCATTACACCCAGATTATCAAGAAGTCCAAACACATAACAAAACATGCAATTACCTGCAACGAGTTGGAAAGGAAAACACAATAGGAGAGACACAAGAATGCATTTTTGGGAATTGCTCTCACGGCTGCAAACAAAGCAATTCGTTTTTCTGCTGTAAAACAGAGATTTTATAAGGAGGTGTATTCCCTTAATTTAAATATATGCATTTGAAGGTGTGTCCTCCCCTTGTAGAGCTGTTTAAAGTTAATTTTATTACCTTCTTTGAGACCTGTTCAAACCCAAAAGCAAATATATGGAGAGAACAAAGGTCATTCTCATACCAGTCTCCTCCTTTAAACATTCCAGACCAAAATTTATACTTCAGCTAGACCTGGTGGTTTTCTGCCTCAGCGATTCCTGTTATAAACACACTGACACAGAAATCTGGTGTCAGATGATAACTGTGAGTTTGGAACTAAAAACTGCAGGATTATCTTCTTTGAGAAAAATCTCTTTTAGAATACCTGAAATGTTTTACTTCTAAAACTTTTAGTTTCCTAATTCTGTTCTATTTTAGTAATCTAAGATGCATGCAAATTAGTATGGTTAGACACTAACTAGTTCAGAACATGCTGTTAATGCTTAAAAGAAATGTCTTAATTCATATGATTATACTTCTAGAAAATTTGTTTTCTAAAGGTTTTAGTGTTTTACTGAACTCCTAAACAAACACCAAAGAATTTGACTCATCTTGTGAACAGGCAGACCCCCTCGACCTCTGACCTATCCGCCAGTACAAGACACTTCCTTTCTGTAGGCCGTTAGTAATTTATGTAAGTTCAGAAAGTCAGCAGTTGTTTTAGTTTGAATCTTTATCTAAATCTACCTCACTTAAAATCTACTCAAAATATTCATGCTCCATCTAATATTTCATATGCACAAAGGTTAACTGTTTCTGAAATTAATATAACCAAACTTATACTCCCAACAGGTACAATGCTAAATGTCACGCCATTCACTGATGTTTTCTTTGATATATTGATGTTAGCAAAGCAGGTAATCCAGGTGTAATCCCCTTCATTTTCATTAATGGTGATTGACTGCAATGAGTAGCAATAAGGATGATTACAGACGTTCTCCACTGTGCTCATTAATAAATAGCTTTTTTGTGTGTGCTTGAACTATCAAAATAAGCTATTATAAGCATTTTAGAGGAAGTATAAAGTCCTGAATGTAAAATTTGGATGCCAGTGGTAACCCTGTGCTCCAGCATTCCAAAACATAGCTTTTCTCTGCAAAGTAATAAAACATTTATTTGTCAAAATAATATTTCATCTTCACTTTTGGTTTGCATTAGGAATTGGTTGTTCTGAAGGCTTGGCCAATGGATGCTCTTATTTTAGTCTTAAGGTATTATTAATTAGCTTAGGATTTTGAACAATGTAACTCTACTTCTGCTTCCTACCTTTTCCACAAGGAGCAGGAACAGGACAGTAGATATTCTCACACTATGTCAACTTTTGAAATACTACTAACAAACAAACACTGTGAAAACAAAATCTGTAGTGGAATGTAACGCTTAATATTGAACAACCTATTTCCAATGAAGGACTTTTGCAAAGCATTGTCCTGTTTGATAATAAAATTGGTTTTGATCTGAAACTGGAAGGGTGACACTGAACACATTGCTTACTTTTACTCTTAATGCCTTGTGCAGTCAGTTTATTATCTCCAAATTTGAATCATGCATGTATGTAAGTGAAAAAGCCGTCAAATGAAGAATCTGAGAGCAGCTAACTTACCATAATGCTTTGTCCAACCTCAGCTTTGATAACAGGCCCAAGGATGCCTAGATGCTCATCCATCTCCCCGCGGAGATCAGGAGTGCTGAAGCTCGCATCCAGGTAACCTCGGAAAACAACTTTGGTGAATTTGGTCTCTAGCATGTTTTGCTGCGACTTATCGTGTCTCCTGTGGTAATAAAACAAACATCACATGAACTAAGTACTTTTTTTTTGCATATTTAAATCTTCCCTTTCCCAAAACATGTGTCCTCCATGTTCTTATTTGGGAGCTTGCTTACCTCTGTCCGTAACCAGCATAGTCCCATTCAACTTCTTCTGCAGCAATAAAGTATGTCTTGATATCAGGACCTGATAACTTTAAGTAGTATTTTGTAGTTTCGTCCAGGTTGAGATCCTTAATGTCTTCATGGCTGCTGTAGGGGTCTTTGTACGACACATATTCATATTCATTTTGTGTCACATCTTGTTCATTCATATCAGGTTGCTCTGGTTCATCTTCAGGGACATACAGCTGATAGTCACTGAAATCAGGTCGGGGCAAAGCAATAACTATGGGGAAGTTAATCAACTCCTCCTCCTTGGTGACAGGCTGTGGTACAATGGGCCTTGCCCCACGGGGGGTGAACTCTGGGTTAAATCCTCGTGGAGAAAAGGGTGAGCCACCTCTGGCCTGAGGCTTGTAGACCTTCCTCCTCCTTGTTTTCATGCCTTCACCTTTCTTGGGTATTTGTCTGAGGTTCACTTTTTTGTACCTTTTGGGAGGTGGAGTTGTTTGTAGTGCTTTGTTCTCAAAGTATTTTTTCATGTGATCAGGAATCTCCTCAGGTACCATGGAGTGAGTTCCATCATAAGTCCAGTTGTGGCCTTGTGAGCTCAAGGAGACGGTTTTGATTGCCTCTGATTTGTTTTCTTTAACATAAATAAATATTTCCTCACTACTTTCTGAAGAACCAAACTCCTCAGAACTGAGCAGCTTCACAGAGCCACCAGAAAGAGAATGGTTGGATGAACCTCTAGTCTCGTTAGAGAAACTTTCCATTGAAGAATTGGACAACTCCCCAGGAAGAAGTCCTTTCTTGGAGCTTCTCCCCACTGAACTTGATTTGGAGATGTTCACTGTACCGTTTTGTGATAGCTCATCTAAGTTTAAAAGATATGTTGCATTCCCAAGGCTGGAATTGGCAGAAACACTCACACCTTCAGTAACATTCATTTGTAGTCCAAGCTCTAGCCGCAAAGTCATGTTTGAAGAGTTTCCCTCATTGTTTCCTGTGGTCTCCACCAACTCAATGCTGGTGAGGTTATCTTTGACCATGCTTCTGTTGTCAGCTTCCTTGATATCAAATCCTAAAAGTGATTGGTTTAATCCAACGGGTGACACATCAGATGACGTATTATGGTCATCCTCAAGTGCTGAAGTCTGTTGAAACAAGAGACTGCCGACTGGGTCAGTGTCGGTGTCAGTTGCATACCCTGTGTAAAAGAACATATCGCCCCGAGGGAGTTGCACATCATTCTCTCTGGAAAAGAATATGTCCATAAAGGTGTTACTACTGCCAGATGGGTTTGATTCTGTTCTTCCATCTTTGGTATTTGTTGTTAATGTTGTATTAATTTTAGTAGTGTCTTGTGATTGTACTGGCATGGTCTGATTGGTGGACTCTTGCTTCCCTGTGGGTTGACTGGTCGTCTGTAATGCTCCCATGGTGATAGAGGTGAGTTGTTTGGATGAAGTGGAAATGTTGACACCATTTGCAGAGGCATTTCCATGAACTGTTGAACGTGTAGCATTGAGAAGTGTTGAACGTGTAGCATTGAGAAGTGTTGAAAGTGTAGCATTGAGAAGTGTTGAACGTGTTGAACCTGTAGCATTGAGAACTGTTGAACCTGTAGCATTGAGAACTGTTGAACCTGTAGCATTGAGAACTGTTGAGTTCATTAACTCAGCAACTGTAAAACTAGCATTATTTGGACTGACTGCAACTACAGAAACAGTCCTGTTGGTGGTTGCCGTGCTTTGATTGCTCAGTGAATCACCATCGCTGTTGAGAACAGTTGTGTAATTGTCAAGGAATGACTGAGTCCTATTCTTCTGTACAGCTGTTGCATGTTTAGTAATACTGCTGTTGTGCAAATTATGTTCTGTAACATTTTGGTTATCTACATATTTCCATTGAGTATCATTCACTGTAGTCTGATTAGAAAAGAGCTCAGTTTTATTCTTTGTGTCCTTTACATTGGGACTAGCATTGCCGACCACAGGAGCAACATCAGTATCATCATAGTCAAATAAACTCAAGTCCAGTATCTCCACATCTGAGTTTCTGGACTGGTTCCTCAGCGACCGTAGACCTAACTCGTCCGCAAACATGTCCGTGTAGATATCGATCTCCACTGGTTCTGTGGGTAAAGATTTTGATTTCTCCTTTTCTTTTTTGACATCTTCAAATGTCGGGGGCTTCCACTGAGTAAATTCATCAACTCCATTCACGTCATTGTCCTCATACTCATATTGGAGCTCGCGGTAGCACTCAACATCTTGAAACTTCACACGCATTCCCTTTGTTGTTTCATGAGTATTCAATGATGCCAAAAGCCAGAAACCTGTTGTGAGGCAAATACACATACAAAGGTTTGGCAAACAAGTTTTCCAAATGAAACAAAGGGATGAAAAAAAGTGACTTTGTAGTTGGCTGTTGTCACCTATGTTGTCCATGGGTATCTTGATGGTCTCTCCAGTCATTGGATAGAGGCTCAGAATGTCTTCAGTTCTGTGATTCAGCTCGAACGGATGGCCGTAGAAAGTAGCTGTCTGGATGTAGTTCTGTGCTCCAATGCTGGACACATGCCAAGTCGGAACCTCACCATAGCAGAAGCCCAAGTCAGGGCCACTCTCAAACACATATCCATTTATTGCTGTAAGTTGAAAGAAGATGGACATTAGATGTCTGAGAAACAACTGGAAAAATACACAAGAAGTCCCTACAATTAAAGAGTATATGTTAATACAGATAAATACTACATTGGGCTAAAAGGGATATTTTGGGTGACTTTATTTCATTTCCATCATTACTGTTATCAAGGCCGGTGCTGTTAACTGTATTGTGGTAGCAGTAAGACTCACTGTGCATGACATTGGACTTATAAAAGTCTGGGTCGGCTTTGTTGACTTTGGATTGATCATAACAACGGCGAATATTTTCGTCCAGATACCAGCTCTTGTTCTCATCAAACACTGAAAACACAGCATGCTGCTCCTTGTCCGCTCTCAGCTGCAAAAACAAAGGGATTATTTTTCAATTACTGCTTAGCTCACCTTTTCAGAACAAAGATGAACTAAGGAATAGGACCTTGGGTTTTACACCATGCAGATTGTTTTTTTCTGTTGAGTTTTAAGTTGAATATGTTAAAGATATTTTCTTCTGCACATGTTCCTTTAGATGATGTAACTCTGTGGTGAAAGATTCTGCAGTTGAAAAATCCAATTGAACCAAAATTTTGATGCTGATCCAGCTGCACCTGGACTTGGATTGTAACCATTAGGTCCTTAAAGCCCCGAGGATGCTTCTGTTGTAATTTGGAGCTAGATAAATAAACCAAACAGGAAATCCAGTATTATTTATTATAGTTAACTAAAGCTAACAACAATAATTGAATAATTTTGAAAATGGTATTTTCTGTTGGGTATTTATCATCCAGTGGATGCGTACATATAATAATTTGACCTTTTTGAATTCTGCACCTAACAAGTAACAAAAGTACAAAACACTAAACTTACTGCTACAACTAATAAAAACTAAATTAAATGAAACAATATTTGACTAATTACGACTAATAAAAAGTAGCCAACACGCTCCAAAAACTAATTCAAGCTAAATTAGACAAACAAAAAGTCACATTCACCTAAAACTAAACTATAATGAAAAACCCACAACGATCATAGCGCTGGTCCTGACCTGTACATTCCTGACATCTAGGGATTGACTCTTGCAGATGAGCATGGGTCCTATCAGGCCCGACGCAATGTCCCGCGGCGTGTCCACGGCGCTGTGGTACATCCGCGTCAGACATTGGGACTCTCCATCCAGAGGCTCGTTCTCCTCCAGAACCTTCCACGTGTAGGTGTGCGTTTCACCTGGCCGAACGCCGTGGGTCTGGTTTCCTGGTTGATTATGTCGCAAGCAACTTTGTCATTTCACATATTTAAATTTGTTATGTTTTGTTTGGTGTCTTATCTGGGGAATAATCTATACCTCCTGCTGGATAGTTGACTCCCTCCTCTGACTTGTCTAAAGTCAGGCCATGTGGGTAGATGCTGTAAGGCCTCGAGGCCAAATTCTTGAAAACAATCTGGGAAAGAGGAAGAAAGTGCATGAAGCCATAATCTAATCTGCAAAAAATGATCACACAGTTCCTGCTTTTCTGTTTAATACTGTACCAGCACCAGATTTAGGAATGTAAGTATTTGGCGTTCATCTTTATACGTCCTATTTCCTAAGTTTAAGGTTTTTCGTTCTGTTATAGTCTTACTGTGATGATGTCTCGGATTTGTGCTCTGATCACTGGACCCAAGATGCCCTGCTCATTCTTCCTGTGCTCATTTTCCACCCTTTCAGTGAATGATTCATTTTTGTACTGAGTGTACACCGCCTTCTTGTATTTTGATCCAATACGACGTGCTGACCGTGTCAGGTACTGGAGCTTGAAGTCTCTAAACAGAGAGAAAACTCACATTTAGTGCAGCTCTGAGATAGCAAAGTTTCATTTTTCATGTCTTTGTGGGAAATAATAACTGACCTCATTTATCCTCCTATAATAACACAAATTCAGCTTGAGTTTAAATCACAGGCCAGATTTAAACCAGATTGACATTACTTTAAAGGGACAGTATTACATGTTTTCCAGCCACATAATATCATTTTAGAACAAAATCAAGTAAGTATGTTAACTTCAATTGTGATAAAAAATATATATATATCAAATATGACTTAAATAAATTTGACTTCATAATTTAACGCCTTGAAAGTGGACCTCTGTGTCTTTAAAAACTGCTGCTCTTTTAATGAAACTACGCCTTCAGCAAGTCATCATAACATGGCTCCTCTGTTAACCCTTTAACGTTTTTACCAGTGTTGCACTGAGAAGTAGCTCCTATAATGAGCTCAGCAGATGCAAAGTTTCATCAGGTGTTTGCTAATTGCTGCTGGCTAGTCTGAAGGAGCAGAGTGGGGGAGTTGAGGGGTAAGGCAGCTCTGTGAGGCGGAAGCTCGGAGGCTTGGAAACTGCAGCTGCGTCTCGATGTCGGTGCTCTGTCCGCCCATGTGTTTTGCACAGCTGAATGGTTGCCACAGGACAGTAAATGATTCTCAAACATGCATGAAAGAATGAAGGCAACGCCACAGGAATGGTTCTGATAACATTAGAACATATGTAGAGCTCAAAAAAAGTTAATTTTGCCCCTTTAAATACACCAGTGATGCTCAGAAGTCTCCCAATGTTGTGAAATGAGTGAAGTTTTATTTAAATCCTGAAGCACTAATGTTAATGTCCCATTGTCAGTCATAATAGCCAATAGCAGCTGTTGGCAATCTATATGTAAAAATAAAGTTGCTCACTGATCAATGTGTTTGTTGCTGTCCTTTGAATAGTCCCAGACTATTTCTTCCGCAGCAATATAATATTTCCACTCCTTGCTGTGTCGTCTCTGTATGACTGTCATCTTTCTCACTGGCTCAGCAAACTCTTCACACATCCTCACGTCCACGAAGCCGTGCATGCCAGCTGCAAACCCATCACACACATTCGAGTTGTTCCGGCGGGAAAGAAAATGGTGACTCTGTTGGCTTAAATGTTCAGGTCCACCCACCTTCCATGTGCTTGGTGGTGAAGGAGGAGAGCAGCCAGCGGCCCGCATAGGCAGAAACCAGGCTGGCGGTGGCGGAGGAGCCGCTGATCAGCCCCACCGACGACACTTTGTGACCGCTGTGCGACAGAACCTGGCCGTTCATGTGAACTGAGAAGACCTCGGGTTCTGAGCTCATGCCCACCAGGTGAAGGCTCACAGGGGCGTGGGCACATATACTGACAGCTTGGAGCAGAAACATAAAGGTTTTAATTAGAATTGAGGCAATAAAAGACATTTTTCACCCATTGAACAACAGATTATGGCAGTCATTCTAAACTTCAGAAATATCATCAACATTACACTACTGTATATCTGTTTTTGCATTATGTCGTGACAGGGTGGTATGGGACATTTTCTTTCCTGTGAAAAAAAAATAGAGCTCCTCTGCGTTCACCCAGTGCTAATCAGAAACAACCAATCACAACTAGAAGGCAGATCTTAGTGCTGCCAATCACCCTCGCTCATCCCGCCCTCTAATTCACCATACTGCAGCTTTGTTCCTAATAGCCCGCGAGCTAATGTAGTCACCAATGACTGCGAATAAACGGTTTTCCTGTAAGGTGAGTTGTTTCTCCACCATTAGCACATATAGCAGCAAGTATATCAGGATGACTGACAGCGCTAAGACCCTCCTCCTTGCTCTGATTGATTGTTCTTGATCGTTGAGTGGAGTATTTCTTCAAACGAAAGCAGTAGCGCAGGGAGGAGTTCGAATTTTTCACAAATTATCTGTCTCATAACATACTGTCGATAATTGTCGGAACATGATGAAGCTTTTTTTTAAAATTATTATTATGTTGGGTCCTTCGTAAAACAAAGTGTAAAAACCAAAATCTGTTTTGAGGTGGAGCTGTACAACAATCAAATATAATTTCAAGAAGGAATCTGAAACTGATGTATCAGTCTCAGTTGCTCCGCTAGTACCAGTCCAACATTGATACCGATTTCAACATTTTGGATCAGTTCTTAATATAGAGCAAGTATAAGTACACCCTCAACTCAACAGTTGTGATAACGACCCAATACACTGACCAGGCAAGGATCCTCGTGTGTATCCGTTGATGGTGTATTTGACGTGGTCATCTGAAGAGTGTCCACCTGGACTGTACAAACTTTCTTTCTCGTCAAAGACCCCAAAGAGAAACACAAACTCCTTGTGGAGGCCCATCTGCTGTCCCGATTCGTCCAAGGTGCCTTTAATCAGAAGGAAGCCCAAAGAGGCATTAAATCCAAACTTTAATTTTCATGAAAACATAAGAAGTTCGTTTTTACAACACTGACCGGCCTTGCAGATGAGCAAAGCGCCGATGAGGCCAGAGTTGTAGTCCTGCACCACGTTTTGGTGGGAGATGTAGGTGTAGGTGAGACAGTCGGGGTCATCGGGCAGCGGGGAAACCTCTGGCGTCACCTCCCAGGTGTAAACATGTTCACCATTAGGCTGCACAATGTCGTCCTCTTTTTCCTTCTGTGACGTGTTGTCAAAGTAGTTGGCTCCTGTGGAAAAAAAAAAAGAACCTTGGCAATTACCACTGATCTCCAAACACACTGTTCTGCCAAAGTGGCTACACAATAGATTTCCGTTGACATGAATCTTGCTCGACATTTTGTAGATTAAGACCATGAATGGGATTTAAATAGCAGTGAAACTGCTACAGCATTTATTTATTCATTTTTTTACCAATACTAAGAAATCATTTGCTTGAAAGAAGCTTCTATGTCTTACATAGAAGTTAGATTAGTTTTATTCCAAGTGTACAAAGACATTTTGCACCAGAAACAAACCAAAAATACTTGGCAAGATTTTGTGTTTGTCGCCACTTTTTTTTTTTAACCTGACCAAAAAAACTGTGATGTTAGGATTTTGAGGACCATGGTATAAATATTTACTCCTGCACAACATTGACCCAGAGTAGATCAGAAAAAATCTACAGTAAATTAAAACTTGTGAACCCAGCAGGCCTGTTTTGCTAAAGTCCTTGCAGCTGTGTGTCATATCCTCCTCGGAAAAAAATAACGGTTATGAGTAGGATGTTTATGTCAATGATGGGAGGATGAAAAGTCTTTATCCTCAACCCAAATGGTTAGCAGTTAGATGATTAACATCCCTGTGGTGTGCATACGCCTCAGTGGATTATTGAGCACCCAGTTAATTAAATTCCTTAAAACGAATGAAAAGGAAATAAACTTCTTCCTGTAAACATTTCTTTAATTAACATTTCCTCTTTGGATGCAGCTTAATCACAGAGGAACTCATTTGAAATCAAGCAGCATCTGTATTTTTTTAATTTTCTAAAATACACTGTTTATCTCAGCAGAATATTTATACTTTGTAGGTGAAATAATCTGCCTAAACAAGTACTTTTTCCATCAATATCAAGAAATGACTGACTTATTATAATCTCCTATATCTTGCTGAAAAGTTTCGTTAGTTAGTTTGGTCTTATTTCAAGTGGACCAAGATATTTGCACTATGACCACAAACACTTGGTAATATTTTGTGTTTTTGCAATGCAGACAGTGATTTCCAAAGGCTTCAGGTCTTCTTCCTGTTGGACTTCAGAACCATCTGCCTTGATAACCTGCCTGTCCTGGTTAATATGTTAGAAGAAGACAAACAGTTTTGTTTGCTGTATTGGCCAATGCTGTGTGAGTGATGAAGGGTCTAACATCAGGGACATTGGATTAGGGAGCGACTCTAATCCAGTGTGTGGCGTTCAGGGTTGGGAGACTTTCTCTGTGTGTCTTGGTTAACGGCCAACTCACCCTCCGACTGCTTCCCGTAAGCCACTCCGTGTGGGTGGATGCTGTACGCGCCGTAAGCCATGTTTCTGAAAGTGACGACGATCGTCTCCCCCTCCTCGGCCCTCAGTGTGGGTCCCAGCAGACCTGCAGAGAGAGGCACAGGTTCCAGTTTCTTCATTTGGATTTGTGTGCGAGCAGTTCTGGGATTTTTTGCAAAGTGAAAACACACCGGGGGCAAGTTTGGTACCCCTCTCACGTTTTCTGGGTAATTATTAAACATTTGACTGGGGTGTAAAAGTGAGTTCTGTTTTTTATTATGTCGTCATCATAGACCAGGACTCTGCAAGATTCACAATCCAGAGAGCTTTTTTTTTTTTTTGTCCTCTGTTCATTAACAAAAAATAGCCGAGACACATTTTCTATAACAAAATGTTTTTTTAAAAGGTAAGCCTGCAGAATGTCATTTTATTAAAAAGAATAAGTTTTATACATATTTTTGAAAATGTCACCATGTTGGGACAGTTTAATCTGTGAAAAGATTGCTCTCCTACACCTCCTCCCAGAGCTTTAGACTAGCTTTAGACTATTGCTGTCTAAAGTCACACACTGTTCCCAGTTCGAATCAACCAATCAGAACCAGAGGGGGTGCCTTACTGCTGTCAGTCAACTCATGAATATGCTGCTAAATGTGCTAATGGTGGAGAAACAACTCACCGTTACAGGAAAACTGTTTATCCACCATCATAAGTGGCAATGTGACCGGCACGCACACGGCCATGATTTTCAGCGCTAAGACCCGCCTCCTGACTCTGATTAGTTTCTAGTTAGAACTGGGTGAAGGCAGAGAAGCTGTCCTTTTAATAATTGAAAAAATAATCTATAAGCTCGGTTTTGAAAATGTTCCGTCTGCTCCGAAAAAAAGGATGATCTAAAACATTTATGTTTGAGCCAAAAAATAAAAAATCTATTTTTAAATAGATATTTATTCCCAGCCTTGTACCAGATGGTCATAGGAATAGCAGGAGGATTCGAGTCCCTACCTCCAAGGAAAATTGTTTTTTTTTTTTTTAAATAAATACTTCTGCTGTGGGAATCCACCTTGAGGCAGATTTTCTACATGATCAAAGCCAGGCCATTTGCTGGTTTACCTCCAGCTCCACTCACCTAACCAGGGCGGATGAGTCTTTGCCTGGCTGAAAGTTTCGTCATACTCCCGAAAAACCACTTTCTTATAGGTGGGATCTTGCCTGAGGAATGGTGGGAAAATACGAAGCATCAATCAGCAAGCCAGTCGGAAGGGAATGACCACGTCTAGTCATGGTAAAAACAAACAACTCCGCCTCAAAAGCAAAGGAAATGAGTTAGTATTTTGATGTCTGTGGTCAACACAGCCTGTGATGACTGTCAGGTTACACGATATGCAAAATTACTGAATTGTGTGTTTGATTTGATGAAACAGAATCACTTTTAGCTCTAATCTCAACCATTTTATGTGGATTTTGGTCAAACATCTCCACTTTTTCTGCAGCAATGTTGTTCAGGAAGTCATACCACCAGGGCAAGTTCAACTTTGCAAATGTAGGTAGCGTTTCCGTGCTATACAGAAACGCAATCTGTGAAGCACAGAAAGAGAGAGACTCTTGAATGATGGAAGGGTGCTGGCCAGTGAAGACACATAAATTGAGCTGAAACACTCTGCAAAAACAGTTCCACAGAAACTGCAGCTCCATTAAAGCTGTCGAGACGTTTTTACACATTTTCTATTCATGCCTCAGGGTTTTACTGAGCTCAGAAAATGTTGTCATATGACACTGTTTTTAAAAGTGATACTTTACTTTTAAAGAATTAAAAGTAATGTATTACTTTTAATACGGGGGCAAATCAAAGGAACTATTTGATCCAGCAACAGAGAAAACTTATTTGAAAAAAAAAACAACGTTATTTTGTAAAAAGTTATCTTCCATCAAACAGATTCAGAAACAAAGGATCTCTTTGACGCAAAATCACTTTAGGAACTGACAAGTCTGTGAAATATAATGGTGTATTAGGGCCATTGTAGATGGAAAAAAAATAGGAGTAAATTTCAGCCAAAAAATTCTGAAATTTTTTGGAAACAGTCTCAAAAATCCTCAAAAAAAAAAAAAAAAAAAAAATAATATATATATATATATGTATATATATATATATATATATATATATATATATATATATATATATTATATATATATATATATATATTATATTATATATATATATATAAAATTACAAATCTCTGAAATTTTGAGGGAAAACATTTTGGACATTTCTGTCTTCCACAAGAAAAGAAAAGAGTTTCAAAGCAGTAAAAATATTTTTGACTTTTGAAATTTCCAAATTATTTTCTAACAATTTTTTAGTTTTGACTATAAAGAATTTGTCATTTTCAAACAGTAATTTTTTGAGTTTTTTTTCCTGAAAATTTTGGATATTGATCACAAGAAAATTTGCTTCCATAAAACATTGTCATAATGTAAAGTTTGTTCCAAAAGAACACAAGAACACAGAAAAAAAAAATGAAATGAAACAAAGACAAATTGAGTTGTTTCAGTGAAAAGCTAAATAAACAGTTTATAGTTAATATAAACTACATTAACAGTTTTAATATTACACACTTAACACGCAACTTTTATCCAGACAAACAAGTAAAGAAACCCCATTCTTCCTGTTTCAGGTACATTTCTAGCCAACCTGTTTGCATCATTGGGCGAATAATTCCAGTTGATCTCCACAGCAGCGATGTAGTAGCGTCTCTCCTTGGATCTCTGCAGGTCCACTTTAATGACCAGGGCTGCCAGGAGAACCAGGACGTGCAGGAGACGGTGAACTCCTATCCCAGGACAGAGCTTCATGTCTGGGATCAGTCTTCCAGGTGAAATGCTGTTCGGTTCCACAAGACTGTGAGCTAACAGAGAGCTGCGCTGTGTGTGTTATCTGTCACTGACACACACACACATCTGTTTCCAAACAGTATGTACCGGGGCAATGAACTGTGCCTCAGTGCAGTTTTTTTTTTTCTTTCTTTCTCGGTCTTGTAATTTAAGTCATATGTCCTTTATCTTGAGTCATCCCTAAGGTTGTACCCAGTCCCATCTTTACTGAATAAGTCTCGTAGGAATAAGTGCTGAAGTATTTATCTGACCTCAGAATGTCCCTGGAAAGTCAGCCATGCAGAAATACACATGCTGTAAATCTAGACAGAAACATTTGGTGGAAACATGGAGCCATAAAACACTCACGTGGATTGGTCTTCTGGGAAATAAACAACCATTTCAGCTCTGACTATGCATATTCATACAAATAAACGTGAAACATTTCTCAAAGTATGTTTTCCTCAACGACTAAGACAGATCTCTGCAAAATCACAAAATATTTCTGTAGTTTCTGGAGCAAAAATCTTAGTACTCTTGAAATAAGACATACCAAACTTATAAGTAACTTTTCAACAAGCCCAATGGGCTTCTTTGAAATCCTTAATATTGATGAAAAAGCACTGGTTCCTCTGGGAGATTGTATTATCTTGTTGCAAGTGAAACAGTCTGCCAGTGGAACTAGGAAATCTTCTGAAAGTCTAAAATACACATTTCCAAACCACTCTTACTAAAAAGAAGAAAAAAAAAACATAAAAAAAACCCGTCATAATCATGGTTATTTGTTCAAACGAACAAATTTGTACATTTAAATGAAAAGTGGAAATGAATATTGCAACGTGTGAATCTGACAGTGGATTCAACATGACAACAGGTCAAGATTAAATACGAGAACATTTTGCAGTACCTGGGAAGTATGTGGATAAAATGCTGAAAACGATGTACTAATGAAATGCACTAATAACTTAGAAGGTCCTTGCCTACATCACCCCTTAATTAGTTTCAACTTGGAGTAGCTTCCTGTTTGAGTCGTGATGCTTTTATTTTGACGGGGTAATATCCGGTTTAGCTCTTCGGGCAAAGTTAGCTTAACGACAACCAGAAGATGTAACGTATAAAATGCATCTTATCAGCATCCCGCTTGAGAAAGACAAAAGGTATGTTTATAAACCCCGTAAATAAGTACGTTTCAAATATTGTGTGACTTAAACAGTAAAATAAGCAGCTTTTATTTAATCCTGTTTGTATTTAAAACACCACAGAATTTTTAGTCAGTTGGCCGTTAAAACAAGAACCTAAAGAGCCGCAGCAAATATGAAATGCAGTTAAATAAATAATTAAAATCAACATTTGTGAATGTTCAAATGAGCAAGTTATGTTTTAGAGTAAAAGCAAATCCACTGGGGTGTGCAACAGAAAAAATGTCTTTATAACGAATATATTCGATGTCATTCCCAACTCAGCTCCATCAAAGGCAGCAAAGCGTATCTGAGAAAAGTTCCGAATACAAAAGCTTACGTTCGACAGTGCGCGAGTCCTCGCTGCATGACGTCACCGCGCCAGCGACGTCGTGAACGTGTACGCTTCCTAACGAGGAAGTCGTCGGTTTGTGTTGACGGAATAAGATGCTTCAGCTATGCTTCGGATCAAGGCAGCAATAAATGGTACGTCCCTGTAAAAACGGAGACATCTTTCAGTTCGTACTTGTTGAACTGCTACAGAAAATGTGACTTTATTTTAACTCCTGATAGAAAACCACAGCTGTTGTCATGCTATGTTGATGCTAACTAAACGTTGAGCAGCTGATACAAAGAGAAAGGAGAGAACATAAAAGCACCAACTGTTATTTCTGTTTTACATGATTAGACGGACGTTATTCCCTTAATTATGCTAAAGCGGTTTTAATAAAATTCTTATAAATGTGGCTACTCTTTCATAGATTTATTGGTTTCAAATGTATATTGAGAATGGCTACCTGTGTCTGTCAAAAAGCCCAAAGCTAAACTCGACTGTGTTGTCCTTCAATCAGGGGTCTTCAATCAGGGGTGTCCACAGTGCGGGGCGTGGGCCATATGAGGCCTTTGGGGATAATGTAGTATGTGGATAGATAGCAGGCCTAAAAGTTGGTCTTCAGCAAATTTCATGACATTGTTTGACATCAGTCCAATTCAATCGAATTCAATTAAAAAGATGCTTTATTAAACTTGGAGGGAATTTAAATGTCATTGTAACTCATCCAAGTTTCTTCAAAGACTTGCCACGCTCCCAAGAACTCTGTCTGGTGAAGAACCGCCAGTTTGCCAGTGTTTCAGTTATTTAAAACATAAAAACTCAATCAATAATTATCGACTGATATGAAACTCTCATAACATCTAGCCCTATTGCCACATAATCCCTGTCTCATTTGTTCCAGCTGCACTGACGAGTTGTGACCAGTTGAATTTTGTCTTCAGTGTTGAAGTCATAAACCAGCAGCCTGATTGATTGTGTGATAGGTCTGAAGAGGTGAACCCAGAGCAGCCTCCTGCACCGCACCTAGCCAGAGCCATGGTGAGCTGCTGCCCCCGCCCCAGGCTCTGCTCCCGTTCCTCGGCCTACACGCTCGCTCTAGGCCTGGGCTTCGTTACCTTGGGGACGAGTCGCATCCTGCTGCTCAAGTTCTCAGCAAACGACGGTGAGCGACAGGATGTACATTTTCAAACGTAACACGTAATAAACTCTGTGTCTCTGTAAGAGGCGGTTGTCTCCAGCAGGGGCTTCTGACAAAAGAGATTGGATCCCTTTCATAAGTAATACATCTTGCTGCTTTTTTTTTTTTTTTCGACTTTATTTTCAGAAAAAAAGTATGACTTCCTCCCTGCATCTGTGAACCTGCTCGCTGAAGCTCTGAAGCTGCTCTTCTGTCTGGTTATGTCAGTCAGAGTGATAGTAAGAGGTAAAAACATCGCTGTCATGGTATTTAGTGGAGATGAACCGATCCAATATTGATATCTGAATTGATCCCGATATAGAAAAAAAATTCCAAATGGGGTATCGATGACAATGATCCCGATCCATAAGGGCAGATCTATTCTGTCTAATTCTATGCTGTGTGCCCTGAGCGACATCATGCTTTTATATTTAGAATTTCTGATTTCTCTTTATGAAAATTTTGAAAGAATGTTTGTTGCATTTTATTTTTTAGGTATTTGACCAACATAGTCAAACTGTTGTTTTTGTTTGTTAATTATTCTACATTCACTGTTCTATTCCTGTTTGCTCTGTTATTTCTTTATGTTGGATCAAGCCTGTGAAGCTTTTGGTGTTTTTAAGTGTGCTGTTCTGACACAGAGTTATCAAATAACTGGTTAATTCAGTACATTTATGTTTTCTGCTGTGCATGTGGGTTCCCCCGTCATTTTTATCACTGTTCACTCTTCTTGTCACCTGACACGTTTGATGAGTGTGTCACTGTGATTGTAATCATAGAAGTTTTATAGAAGTTGTTTCTACTTTATGCTCCATTTCAAGTCCAGAACATTTTGGCAGTCTGACATTTGTTTCACTCATCATCTCTTGTCACATATCTCATAGATTCATAGTATGGATCTATGGTGTGTTTTTATTATGCTTGTTTATTCCAGTCTGTCTGGCTTGATCCTGTTTAGGGAGACTATAATCTGTCTGAGAACAGATCATAGTCTAAAACTCTCCATGTTTTCAGTCAGCTAATTATTAACCAGCAGGCTAGTTCTCATTACATTTGCTTGTTTGTTCTTTAAAGAACAAACAACAAGATTATTGTTGTTGTTTGAATTAAAATAAGGGATGCACCAATCCACTTTTTTTACTTCCGATATTGAGAGGTTTAGCATCAGCTGATACTGATCCAATACAGAAAAACATCGCTTTATTGACTCATTCTTTTGCAAGCACACATAAATGTACTGAATTACAAATTTATTTGATAACTTTGCACCAGTACAGCACCTAAATTCACCAAACGCTTCACAAGTTTGATCAAACATGAAAAAACATCACAACTTTAGTTTGTTCCGTCAGTGCAATAAAGAGTTTAAGATGGATAGATATAATGTGAAATAAATAATTTTAATGATATCACTTATACCATAAACCTTAGAATTATACAGAATAGATCTGCCCTTATGGATTGGAAGCATTGTTACTAACAATTTGAGTTTTTCATTATATACATCCCGAAATGTAAAAATATAGGTGCAGCTAAGTAAATATGTTGCATTAAAAATTCATACCAGAATGGTGTGTGTGTGTGTGTGTGTGTGTGTGTGTGTGTGTGTGTCCTCAGAGGGACGATCTTGCAGAGATCTGGGATGCGGCTCCAGCTCCTCCTTCCTGATCTCTCTGAAGTGGGCCGTTCCAGCGTTCCTCTACTTTCTGGACAATCTCATCATCTTCTATGTGATGACCTATCTGCAGCCGGTGGGTAAACGCTCAGATCAGGATCCTCATCACACACTCTCAGGGCCTGACTTAAAGGGATGTGGGGCCCTGGGCTGGAGCTACTTTGAGTACCCCATCCACTATAGGCAAATTTGTCTGCTATTAAAAATTACAGCACAACAATGAGTAGTCTCACGCATGAACTGATGTATGGTAGGTTTAATACGCCCCCCTGAAATTCCTAAAAAAAATTTTTTAGGAAAACATTTTTTAGGATTTTTTTTATTCCTAAAAAAATTGTTTAACTTCTTAATTTCCAAATACTTGAGGATTGTGTATATTTGTCAAATTTCCAGATTTTGAAAAAAATTCAAATGGTTGTAGAATCATGTGATATGGTTCTACAACTTTTACATAAAGTACAATACAAAACATATATTCATTTAAGCAAAAAAAAAAAAAAAAGTGTTTGGTGACCCATAAACACAGCGACATGGGCTACTGCCCATGTAAACCCTTTCTAATGTCTGGCCCAACACATTGTGCCATCCCAATTTATGATTTTTTTATTGTGTGTATTTTGTGTGTTTTGTTTTATTTTGTGTATTTTATCTTTAAATGTAATTTTGTGTATTTTATTTAGCTTTATTTCATTTTAATTTG